GATAATTTCTGTTGTTAAAGGCAGGATTATGGCTGGAAAGATGGCTCAGTGGCTGAGAGCATCTTCTGACAATTCCCAGCCTCCACAATCAGGTGCTTCATAACGGTCTGGAACTCTAGCACCAGTGGGTTCTGACCCCTCTGGCCTCCTAGGGTACCTAAACTCACATGCACATAGCCCCCTCCCCCCCACGTGAATTAAACATAATAAAGATAGAGCTGGGCGTGGTGGCACATGCCTTTAATCCCAGCACTCAGGGAGGCAGAGGCAGGTGGATCTCTGTGAGTTCGAGGCCAGCCTGGTCTGCAATAATTATTATTATTATTATTAAAATAAAATAAAAAATCTTTTTTAAAAAAGCTGGTGAGATGGCTCAGCGGATAAAAGCACTCATCTAGCTTGATGAGTGGACTCTGTCTCCAGAACCAACATGGTAGAAGGAGAGAACCAGCTCTCACAAGTTGCCCTCTGACCTCTACATGCATGCTGTGGCACACAGGCCCCACCCAAATAAATAAATGTAAAAAGAAAATAAGGCTGGTGATGTAGCTCAATGGTCAGAATGTTTCCCCGGCATGAGTGAGGCTCTGGGTGTGATCATTATCGACTGAATAAACTGGGCGTGATGACACACCCATGTAATTCTAGCACTCAGGAGGTAGGAGGACCAAGAGTTCAAGGGCAGCCTTGAACAGGATAAGGGGGTGCTTCCAAGCCCTGTGACACATATCCCTAGGGGCAACTTCTGTCACCAGAAACGTTCTAGGGGGCCTCGGGCACTCATGGGAACAGTAGGCTTCAAGAGAAACCCCCTTGGAGTTAGGGATGACTTTGTTGTCCATCGATGCTTGTCCTGTGAGAGGTGACCTCTGGCCTGTCTAAGAGAGCTGTCGGAATAGACTCAGTGTAACAAGAGGGCCAGAGGGGAGCCCTCCCTCCCTTCCCAATACTGTTCCTGCCGGGTGGGAAATCTCCCTCTGAACAGCACGGGGGCCTGGAGACCAGCTTCTCATGCTGCTGACTCACCCCTCATGTCTGTGCTCCTGTGGTGTGCTGGGACAGCCCTGGAGGGCCTAGATGATCAGGAGTGTGGAGTGGGCAGTGGAGACAGGGCTGGCTGGGCTGTCAGAGAGTAATGTTCAGGAACCAGGGTCAGTGGGGTCATGGGCAGCAGCTGTCCTTGAGACCTTTGAGGGGCCTCTGAGCCAGGGCAGCTGCAGGTTCTCAGCTGTCAGGCAGGCTCTGGGCTGGGAGGAGCCTGGGGGCTGGAGCAGGAGGGTGGGGCTGGGAATGTGGAGCTGGCTTTGGCTCAGTCTGCTCGGAGGACAGTCTACTCTAGGACCCTAGGCATTTCCAGGGCATTCCCACAGAGAGCAGGACGATTGAGGGTATGTGAGCAGTGGCCAATTGCCTGAACACAGTTGATTAAGCCTGTATTGGATGTCTGTCTTCTTTGGTGTCTGTCTGTCTTCTTGGACATCTTTGTAGAATTCCCAGCATCCACAACCTGGTTCATAACTGCCAGTGGCTTCTGACCCCTCTGGCTCCCTAAACTCCTAGTCCCACACATATATAAACATCATAAAGATAAATCTTTTTTTTTTCTTTTTTTTTTTTTTCATAAAGATAAATCTTAAAAATAACCAAACTGCCCATCCCCACCATGCCCATCCAACCCTGACCTTTGCCCCTGTGACTGTAAGGTTCAAATGTTGTCCGAAGCTTCCTTTACGGCTGGATGTAAAGCTTAGCCCCCGACCCCTGCCAGCCTCTCAAAGCTGGATTTAGGATAATAACATCACATCACCCTTCCTAGGCCCAGATCCCACTCTCTCAGTTCTGGGTATGCTCTGGGTATCCCAAGCACAGGGCTGGGGTTCCCACGACTCAAGCCATCCTAATGGGGTGGCTGAGTCCATCAGTGTATGACAGATGAGAAGAGACAGATTCCTGATTCAGATTCCAGCCCCCTGGCTTACATTGTTCTGGGGCCTCAAACTGCCCTTACAGCCTTACACGCTAAAGCAAACAGGACCTTAGAAGAGCCTTTCCAATTTGAACTCCCTGTGTAGCTGAGGCTGGCCCTGGGCTTTTTTTGTTTTTTTGTTTTTTTTTTTTTTGAGACAGAATTTCTCTGTATAGCCCTGGCTGTCTGGGAACTTGCTCTGTAGACCAGGTTGGCTTCAAACTCAGAGATCCTCCTGCCTCTGCCTCCTGAGTGCTGGGACCAAAGGCGTGTGCCACCACCATCCAGCGGCCCTGGATTCTTGATCATCCTCTAGGATTACAGATATATGCTATCATATCACCACCATGCCTGGCCAGTCCAGTGGTTTAGTTTTGTTGTTTGTTTTTCAATATATTTATTTATTTTATGTATATGAGTGCTTTATCTTCACGTCCACCTGCATACCAGAAGAGGACATCAGATCCCGATACAGATGGTTGTGAGCCACCATGTGGTTGCTGAGAATTGAACTCAGGACCTCTGGAAGAGCAGACAGTGCTCTTAACCTCTGAGCCACCTCTCCAGTCCCCTTTATTGATTTTTTTTTTGGTTTTTTGAGACAGGGTTTCTCTGTGCAGCCTTGGCTGTCCTAGACTTGTTTTGGAGACCAGGCTGACCTCAAACTCACAGAGATCCGCCTCTGCCTCCCTGAGTGCTGGGATCACAGGTGTGCGCCACCACGCCTGGGTGTTGTTGTTTGTTTGTTTGTAACAGCCCTGTCTGTCCTGGACTCACTCTGTGAACCGCCTGCCTCTGCCTCCCTGAGTGCTGGGATCACAGGTGTGCGCCACCACGCCTGCCTTAGTTGTTTAGTTTTAAAAGTAAAAAAAAAAAAAAAAAAAGAATGTTCCTGCATGCCTGCTCATGATGCACACACGTATCAGGCACATACATGTCAAATTGTCAAATAAATATTCTTTACAACCTCCAAAAGCGGAAGCTTGTTATATATCCTAAAAAAACGATTTCTAAAAATGTTAAAACACCCAGTTGGGCATGGTGGCACATGCCTGGAATCCCAGCATTCCGGGAGGCAGAGGCAGAGGCAGAGGTAGAGGTAGAGGCAGATGGATCTCTGAGTTCGAGGCCAGCCTGGTCTACAAAGTGAGTTCAGGACAGCCAAGGCTACACAGGGAAACCCTGTCTCAAAAAAACAAAACAACCAAACAAAAGCTGCCCCCATTCCTAGTTAGCGAAGTCCTCTCTGGGAGTTAGAAGCTCTGGGCTGGAGGGAGGAGCTGACCTGCGTGTGCAGAAAGTCAAGTGATTCAGCCAAGCCTGGGGCCAGCAAAGTGAGGACTCAGCTTAGGGGAGGTGGCAGAGCCAAGGAACCTGAGGTCAAGGGAAGGAAACCTACACCCAGCGTGGCTCCAGAAAGCAGGACAGTGTCCTGGCGTCGGCCCAGCCCTCCTGCCCCTGGGTGCCCCTCATGGCTCCGATTCCCTAGCTTTGCTTCTGGCACTAAACTGAGTTCCCACGAGTGGGAGCTATGAGGGGCTTTTGTTCCCCTCAGCAGCTCTGACCTCCCAGAGAAGGGACTTCTTGACTCCTAAAGGGCAGCCACGCCTAAAAGAGGGTGGCAGTTTCCTTCTGGGAGTGAAGATTATGCCCAGGGTAGGGGGCAGAACCATTTCTTCAGAGCCATCAATTTGCCCTGAGCTCTTGTGTCAAGGGCACACTCCAGACCAGACTTGGGGGGGGGGGGAAGATGCCACCAAAGAAAGTTGTAAGGCAGATGGGGTCTTGCCAGACTGTACTCTCCACTGCCAGTATGCTCAAGCGCAGGCGCACAGGCGAGCCCTGAGGATGCCAGCTGCTGCAGGAGGCTGGTGATGCAGATTAAGTGAGGACCAGGAAAGGGAGTTGGCAGTTGCTTGGCACCAACTTCCTGACAAGAGCAAACAAGAACCTTTTGGTGGCATGTCTGGGTTCATAACCTTTTTGTTTGGGTCTTAAATTTTTTTTTCCATTTTAAAAATGTATTATTTATTACATTTTTTTTTTTGTTTGTTTGTTTGGGTCTTAAATGTCTGTCTGGCCTTCCCAGATCATCCCCAGCCCCATTTGACGTGGGCCCAGGCAACAGTCCTGGGCTGCCATTCATGCCTAGTGACAGGGGAGCCCTTGCTTTCTCTTTCCCTTGCTTCTGGGGCTCCCCCTGAACTCACTGGAAACTTCCCACTAAGTCTCCATCTGCACCTAAGCCTGCACATCTTCCTGAGACTAAAAAGACCAGAGCTCTGTCCACTGCGGGGCAGGGTCAGGATTACTGTTCTCTACAAGCCTTCAGAAGCAACAGGCTGATTAATACATGCTGCAGCTCCCCAGAAGGTCCTCATGGACCCCCATAACGGCTAAGGGTGGGCGGGCCGCAGGCTGTAGCTACAGCTTGTTAGTCGTGGCCTGGTGGTTTAGTGTTCACAGGCCTGCGTCTAAGGCAAGGGAGGGGCAGGCCGAGAGTTCATGTCTGGCTTGGTTAAAACACAAAAGCTCATGCATGCCACTTCTGAGGTTGACAAGTCACCTTGCAAAGTGGACCACTAAATGTTTCCTGTGTTTAGAAGCCAGAGGACAAGGGTTATCAGCTCCCCAAGTTGGGGCTTGCTTGTTTTTTGTTGTTGTTGTGTGTGTTTTTTTCCGAGACAGGGTTTTTCTGTGTAGCCTTGGCTATCCTGGGATCATTTTGTAGGCCAGGCTGGCCTCGAACTCACAGAGATCTGCCTTCCTCTGCTTGAGTGCTGGGATTACAGGTGTGTGCCATCATGCCAAACCAACAGCTTGTTTCTAAATCTTTCCTTGCAGGCTTTTTTTTTTTTTTTTTTTTTTTTTTTTGACAAGGTCTCTCTACATAGACCAGGCTGGCCTCAAACTCTTGAGAGATCTGCCTGCCTCTGCCTCCCTTGTGCTGGGATTAAAGTGATGCACCACTGTCTTGGTTAGGGCTTCTATTGATATGATGAGACACCATGACCAAAAAGGAACCTGGGGAGGAAAGGGTATATTTGGCTCCTATTCCATATTGCTGTGCATCATTGACGCAAGGAAAGAAGTTGGACAAAAACTCAAACAGAGCAGGAACCTGGTGGCAGGAGCTGACACAGACACCATGGAGGGTGCTGCTTACCGTCTTGCTCCCCATGGCTTGTGCAGCCTGCTTTCTTATAGAACCCAGAGCCACCAGCCTAGGGATGGCCCCACCCACAACAGGCTGGGCCCTCTGCCACCAATCACTAACTAAAATGCCCTACAGGCTTATCTTATGGAGGCATCTTCACAACTGAGACTCCCCCCTTGCAGATAGCTCTAGTACGTGTGTCAAGATGAAGTAAGACCAGCCAGCATGGCTGCCGTGCCCAGCCTCCGAAGCACTTTCACAGACGGCAAGAGGAAGCAGTCTCATGGTGGGCAACCCATTCCCGGAGGCCTCCTCCCATCAGAGGTGAGCCCAGGCTGGCTCTTCGAGGTCCCATTTCTGTCAGTCAAGACTTCCTAGGCCCTGGCAGCTGGGGTTTTCCCACTTTGTCCTTGGCAGGTGAAGCAGGACAGCCTGTTTATAAGGGGTAGAAACCTGTGTGAAATCTAACTCTGCAGCCTCTCCCCAAACGCCAGAATATATGGGCATGGGGGTGTCCTGCGAACCCTGACCTTACCTGAGAGCGCTGGACCTGGCAGAGAGCCAGACTGGCCAGAGACTAGCTATCAAAGGGCTCATCAGGCTGCCCCCTCCAGATGGAGAGGTGGGGCTGGGACCAGAACACGCATGTGAGCCTCGGCGCAGGGAGAGCCGGGCAGGCTGCCAGCTGCTCGCTCTGCAGCCCAGTTTCCTCCTCAGCAACTGTAGCCTGGGGACTTTGGGAGGATGCAGGGTAAGGCTGGGAGAGCTCCAAGGGGCTGGACGGAGGAGCCCAGTGTGACCAAAGCTCTGCCTTCTCTGGACATAGGTCAAGTAGACAGCATTCCTAGGACACTACTCAGAAAAAAAAGAAGATTAAAATCAGCTATACTAAAAAAAAAATTATTTCTTCAAATGCCATGTTTGATTCATACAGAACATCGAAGTTTTTCTGCCTTTCTGGGCAGGCAGTCTCCACAGATGGCTCACTTCTGGACACCCTATCTACCTTGTGAAGCAAGGAGGGAGGCGCGGTTCATGGCAAGGCATAGTCCATGGGGCCCCAGCCCTGCAGTATTGTCCCCATGGCCAGATCCTTGTCAGGCACACCAACGGTCTGGTCATCAGATGGCCATGCCTGGGCCACTGGTGTCTGTGAGGCTGCAGGACCCAGGCTGAAGGCTCAGATTCTGACCACCTGCGCAGCCACGCTCAGGCCCGGCCTGCCCCCGCCGTCCGCGGCCCTGGGCTGCCTCCTGAGGTAGAGGCGGCCGAAGGTGCCGCCCACTTGTCCTTTGGTGAGCCGCCCGGGGTTCATACAGACACAGCCAAGGATTTCCTGGGAAAGAAAGGACACTGGGGTTAGAGGCCCTCAGCGGGGTGTGACGTTGTCAGAATCTTAGACTGCGTTTTAGAAGGCAGAAACAAAGGCAACCACTCAAGCAAATATGTTCTCTTGTAAGTGGAGAGTCTCTGGGGCAGAATAAAGAATGCAGTGCCCTGGCGGGGTAAGACGCTCCCAGACTTGGACAGGACGGATCCCAACACTCTGCTGTTTTCCCACGTGACTCCCTTGCGAGGGACTCGATCCTGAGGCAGCTGGGCCTGGAGATCAAGAGCTTCTTTTAAGGTACTGCTGGCTGAGCCCATGGGGAAGGCACACAGGCAGGCAACATGTTCCCAGGTCACCTTGACATGGCCCAAAGCCCTTGTTCTTTGACCCCTACTCTCTGCTTAGGTGTGTGTGTGCTGCTTGCTTCATTCCACCTCAGCAACCAGCCTTCGTGCTGGCCCCAGAGGACAGTGTACTTTTCAGCAGACCCAGGTGGAGTGAAAAAGAAAGCCAGGTCTGATGTGTCTGGAAAAAGGCCAGTTTAAACCCACCTTCACGAAGTACCTCAGCTCTGACGGCACTATGAAGACATCAGGGGTGACCAGCAGCTGGGCATAGGCATAGAAGTTCTCGTAGTCTATGGCCATGTCCTCGTGGGGCGGGTAAAGTGGGTAGTAGCTGCAGAGATGAAAGAGCCAATTTAGGAACCCTGGGAGAGGCCCCACTCCCAGCTTCTACACCGCCATATTTATGGGCTGGCTTTTTTCCCCTCCGTTTGAGGGGCCAGCACCCAGTTTTGTCACCATAGGGTGAAATTTCCTGACAACCAAACATGGCACAGCTCTGATCCAATTGCTCTTCGGGGTTGGTGGCACACTCACCTTCTCTGCGTCAGGATGTGCTTGAGGATTCGGCTGAATCTGTCTGAAGTCCCGGAAGAGCTTGGGAAGGAAGGGCAGAAAGCAATGGTGGGGTGGGGTGGGGCAGAACCAGGTTTCTCCATCAGTTCTCTTTGGGGGGACCTTCGGACTCAAGCCAACTAGAGAGAAGCTGAACAGCAAGGACACAACTACAGGGCTGGCCTGGAGATACACTGTGAGCAGCTGGCTCTTTCCCAGGACAGGGCAGCAGGGCACAGGGCTTAGAGGGAAAGAAGAATCCCAGGAATCAGGGTATGGGAGGCCCAAGTGCTGGAGCCGGCACCATCTCACACAAAGAGGACAGTCCAGCCCTGTGAAGCTACACACAGCTAGCCAGGCAACCTGTGTCACACCCAACTGCTGAACCCCTGGCTCGTCTCTCACTTTCCGGGCAAGGAAGGTTTGATAGAAGAACCGACTGCCTAGCCTAGACGCCAGGCCCAGTGGTGTCCAGTTCTCTGAGGACCCCACCGTCACTGCTCTGGTAAATCTAGAGAGGAACACTTGAGCACTCAAGTCATAAACTGGGAAACCAAAAAAAAAAAAAAAAAAAAAAAGGGTGGGGTGGGGTTGGGGGAGGGATAGATCCAAAAGTATGACAGGGACGAGGCGCAGGGAGCCAGGCTGCTGGCCTGGAATGCTCCTTACCTACAGATCTCTTCGGTCCCAATGTGGAACAGCAGGTCTGTAGACGTCAAGCCAAACATTACTCCATTTATGGAGAGGCTGCAGGGATCTGACACAAACCTCACTCGCTGAAATGAGAAGGAGCCGACATGAACACTTGTATAAAACAGCTGGAGACTCTGCCCTACCAAACCTGGGGCCTGGAGACCATGAGGGCCAACCCACGTGCAGCAAACCATGACACCTCTGTTGGGGATTGAGGAGCCAGGCTGTGCTTGCTCCTAACAGGGCCTCTCTGCCCTCACTACCAGGACTGTCTTCACCTCACCTATTGCTTGCTTGGCCAGAGGTGGGCCCGGGGTACCTTTTTGTCCTCTCGAGGCAGTTCAGAGAAGGTGAAGGGCGGCTGTGGGTACACTGGTTCATGATGTACATCCCTCAGAGATGGGACAAAGACAAGGTTGGAGCCGGAGCTGCTTTGTAAAAATACAAGCACAAGAGGGACAAGAACTGAGCCAGCAGAACTGGGCCACAGGCTCAAGGTGAGCATGTCAGTCCTCCAGGGAGACTTGATGGCATTCCGCTATGAGCAGACACTGTTTCCCGGGACCCTGCCAGGGAGAGGAGACCTGCTGGCATATACACACATCCATCTGGATTTGGTGTAGACAGCTCAGGACACACCATCCCTTGCTTTCTGTGGCCCCTCACTGCAGAGGGGAACTCCTGTCTGGTGGGAAAAGGGAAGACTTGGAGCTCGGCAAGGAAGGCACACATAGCAATTCTAGCCCTCAGGAGGACAGAGAGGTGTCAAGAGTTTGAGGCTAGCCTGAACTCCAGAGACCCTATTTGTGGGGGAAGCCTCAGGATCAGAATTGGAGCGTAAGCCCGACTCCATTTTCTAGGGTATAATTTGCTGTGGGCAATAAAGTTCTCCTGACACATGGCTCAGGTGATTCGAGTGAAGCCAGGGAGGAGCGAGGCAAACTGCTCAGATCGTGAGGTTGCCCTCACACTCTGAAGGGCTGGGCCTGGTCTACTGGACACTGGAGACAGAGGCTGTCAGAAGGATACTCTCCACTCATGTCAAGAGGTGAAGCTGCTTTTGCTTTTCAGCAAACTAATGTGAAAGAAACACTGCGCAGCAGCAGAGGCAGCAGCTCCTTTGATGGGGACAGGAGAGTCTCCAGGGTTACAGCACGGAGTGCAGAAAAAAAGCTGAGCCAACTGTTTCCACGGCCACACAAGAGAAGGGAAAATGTGCCTCTTTAGTTCCCTTGTCTGTCCTCGGCAGAGGGGCCTACTGTAAACCAAACAGCCATAAATTGTTGCTGGGAGGCCATGCCTGGAACCAGCCTAGTTCTCACTTGCAGCCCCTGACTCTCATGCTTAAACTGTGAAACAGGTACAGAGGCCCCAGAGCTGGAGTTATAGGGGGGTGCTTGACGTGGGTGCAGAGAACCAAACTCCCAGCCCTCTGCAAGCCGTCTCTCCACCTCATCCAGGAACTTTTGACATGTGATCAGACACTGGGGACAAGTGTGCAGTAACAGACCATCAGAATCTTGAGACCAGAGGTACTTTGCATATTATTCACAATCTCTTTGACACCAAGTTCACTGTCATTGTCCAAGTCCACCATGTGAGTGCTAGAGCGTGCTGAACAGGCCAGCGAGTGAGCTGAAAGGGACACCTTATGCTCTAGAAATGGAAGTCTGAAGGTACAAAGGGCTGAGGTGCGGCCATTCAGGACCAGCTTCAGGAGAGCAATAGTTAAGGAGGAAACAGCCTCCGCTCTAGAGGGAGGGGCCTGGAAGAAAATTCCAACTATGTGCAGCATTGCACAACTTCACACATCATGGTGGGAGGGTCTCATTGCTGTCTCTTGAGCAGTGAGGTGCACCAGGGCTCTCTACTGCTACAAGGGTGCTCTTGCACATCTGCCGAGCTCTGCTGAGAGCCTGGTACTCTGCATTTCTGGCCGGCACCATTTATATACTGCTCTGGCGGGGTGGGGCTGCTCCCCTGCTCTGCAGCTCACACTAGCTACAGATGAAAGTGCCTGGTGGTGCTGGGCACCGGCCCCCAGGGGAACAATGCTTGGTCTATTCTTTGTTTATGTCACCGCTATCAATAGCACATGGGATGAGGAACCAAAATCAGAACCCAACCTCATGTTGAACGCACCAGCTGGTGCTGGGTGCCACTCCAGAGCCTGCTCCTGCTTTGGGGTGGCCAGAGGTTTATCTTCTGAGGACCTCTCAGCATCCCCCAGGTTTCATAAACTCAACTGGGGCCCTAGCAGACCCGGGGGGAAGAGCGAAGGTATATGTCACCCTCCATTTGAGAAGGGAGGAAGCAGGCGAGGGCCCAAGCCTCCCAGCTCCAGGCCTGATGCCAGCACGAGGTTGTATTACAACTAATCAACCTGGGATCTCTTCTGAGGACAGAAGGCGGAAGGAAGACCTGTAAAAGCCACCTTTGTTACAGGTTTGTTTTTAAAGCTCAGCCTCAGGGATGTTTGTTTACTACCGAGTTCAGCAACAGGCAACAAATCCCAGGAGACCGCCCACTACTCCATTTTTCTGACCTGGCCCAATGAAAGGGAGGGGTCAGCTTCCTGGGCCTCTCTGCTCCTGTTCTCTCTTACTGGAACCTCGAGGCCCCACACACTACAACTTACGTCAGTGCTGTGGCCTTTCAGTCCTTTCTTCCAAGCTATGTTGAGGATTCAGGATCCACCCTCCCTGGAGTCTCTCCCACCCTTGGCAGCTATCCACCACCATGGGGAAACACTGATTTGGGAAAGGAACTTGGGCTTACCCCAAAACATTCTCCTCACGAATGGAGAGGTTTGGGGCCTCTCAGGATTTCATTGTCAATCAAATGCTTCCCCACCCTGGGAATATTCCCATGGAGTAACAGTTTATACAAGGAGAAGTGAGAAAAGGAAGTAAAGAGAAAGAACGAAGGAAGAGAGAGTGTCAAGCTCGTCCTTTCAAGTCTGTTTATCTGACCTGCAAAGATGCCTTTTAACTCACTGTCTGAACACTCAAAGTTCAAATTCTATCTGATCTCCGAGTTCAAAAGGATGGAAAGGACAGGAAACAACCATGGCTTGTAAACAGTTTCAGTTGCTGACTGGCATGTCCTGGAAGAACCTAGAAAGCTGCAGGTTCTGTCCAGCATCTGGAATGCCAACCTTCTTGTTCCTTCGATAACTGTCCTCAGGCACTGCTTAAAAACATCTTCAAACGGGCTCGTCAAATGACAGTTCTGCAAGAAAGGAAAGGAGGCTCACTCAGAGCAGCCAGGTCTGCTCAGTGTTGAAGCTTGTTAGCTGACCGTGAAGGGCTCAGGGTAGACAGAGGGTAGTGACAGGAAAGAAGGGAGCCATGCAAAAGGGCTCATGCTTTGCAATCCCAGCTCTCAGGAGGGTGAGCGCCAGACTAGCCTAGGATACAGACCGAATTCTAAGCCAGCCTGGCTCTAGTATCTCAAACAAACAAAAATGGGGCCTGGGGCGGGCTGTCCATCTGCAAGGAGCTGAGTCTGGATAAGGGAAGAATTAATCCTTTTGCATGCAAGCTGAGAGTCTAGGATGAACACTCCTTCAGTTCTTTCCTTCGGAGGAGACAAGGATAGGAGGCCCAGGCCCTTGACCAAGATCCCATTAATGGTTTATGTATTAGAGGACCATAAGACATGAGCTTTGGGCAGTGGCCACGTAAAGGAATTTCTGTTTCTGCCTCTTCAGTGCAGTAGGTAGAGTGTCAGTCTCATAGGGGACTTCCACAGCCGGGACCCACGGCCGAAGCCCATCTGCATCTGTTACTGTTTTGGCTCAGCAGTGAGTGGTGTAGACCAAGGAACCACTCATTTCTAATTCCTCCCCTGGCGTCCAGACAGGCTTGTGTACTGTTGAAATAAAGCCCTCAAATTCGAGGTATTTATTCAACAAGGCCTGGTAGCTACAGGGTTGCTGTAAAGCCTGCTGCAGATAAACTCCAAAACAGAAAACTAAGAGTCTAGGCTGAATGCAAATGCCCAGCCCTCCCCCCTCCCCTGGCACTTACCTCCACCTGTTCATGTTTAGCATCCACGAAAGGTCCAAACTGCAAATGAGCAGAGGTGGGGGAAAAAAGCACCCAAAGAACAAATCAGAATCTTCCATGTCTACAAAGGCTTTTAGACAAATTGTCTAAAAGTAGTAACCTGTTCTGGTCCACCTGTCCCTCCACAGCTGCCTGGAGAGCCTGGGGAGTTAGCAGATACATGGGCCAAGGAGCATGTAAGTCCTGTGTTCTCAGAGACTTTCCCATGGCCCTATTACCACTGTGGTTGCCCCAAATGACACTCTCTCTTTTTTGTTTTCTACACCTAGCAAAACAACAGACTACTGTGTTACCAGTAGTATTTATGTCATAAAAAATTAGTTTAGGATGAGAGTGTGAATCCTATAAAATCAGAGAAGAATGACAGTAATGCCAGGCCTCGACTTAATGACCAGCTATGGAGTATATACATACCCCCAGAGGTGCAGATTTTTAAAAATCCCAGCACTTGTGAGGCAGAGGAGATGTATCTCTGTGAGTTCCAGGTCAGCCAAAGATACATACTGAGACTCTGTCTCAAAAACAAAACAAAACAAAACAAAACAAAAAACAAAAGGAAAGGAAACTAAGATTTAAAAACAAAAGACCAATGTTTCCTAAAAACTTTGATACCATTAAAAACCCTAAGGCCGATTTCATTCCCACCCCCACTGCCTCCCTGCACACGCTACCCAGGCGACCTACCAGGACGCAGACATCGGGCCTGTCACGGTTGATGACAGTGACCAGATCAAGCAGGGGCTCGTATGCGGTGCTGTCAGAGGTGGTATAAGGTCCACAGGCAACTAAAACCATAGTCTGCTCGGAATCTGAGACAAACGCACGGCAAGGGCATGAGGAGAGAGAGAGAGAGAGAGAACAGGTATTAGGTGGGGGAGGGGGAAGGGCCATCAAAGGAAAATGCCGCAGTTAAGGCCCAGGAGTGTAAGTCTGGGGATTCAAGGTGAGGACCTCACCCTCCCACAACACTGAATGGCAGGGAGAAGCTGGAGCCACAGCAGTGCACCCTGGGCCATGTGAGCAGAGTGGCCATCAGGAAGGGATCAAGATGACTTAGCGCTCACACTAAGCAGAAGTTAGGGACCATCTGGAGATTCAGTGTGGTGAGAGACTATGGGGAACCGAGGCCCAGAAAGGCAGGCTCTGTTGGAGGGTCAGACACTGCCCTCCAGGGACAGTAAAGCTGCCAGGGTAGTGTTCCCACCCCAAGCTCAGGTTTCTAAGCCCTGTTGGTTTTTGAGTTTTTTAAGTCACTATCTGAGATATTTCCTATGGCTGACACAAGCCACCACCCCCCACCATCCCGCCCGCAAGTCTCCCAAGTTTTCTAATATGTAGTGTTACTCTACTATTGCTGTTCCTGGGGAACCCTGGTTTGGTTCCCAGCCCCCACATCAGGCAGCTCACAACTGCCTACAACTGCTGCCCCAGAGAGCCAACAGCCTCATCTGGCCCCCACAGGTACCTGCACTCACAAGTGCACACACTCATACACAATACACATACATGCAAACAAACAAAAAATCAAATAAGTCTTAAAAGAATAAATACATGAAGTAAAGAAATGAATTACTATTCCAAACCTAGTGGCTTTAAAACAATTTACTATCTTATAGCTCTGGACACGTGTGAGTCCAAAAGTCAAGGTGTCAGCAGGCTGCAACACTTCTGGAGGCCAAACATGCTCCATCTTTAAAGCCAGCAGCCTGAAGTTTCTGTTCCCTAACTCCGACCTTTCTGCCATCCATTTTCATAAGGACCAATGTGATTGCACTAGATAATCCCACCCCCAAAATATTTTATTTTTTTGTTTGTTTTCCCATCCAGATCACTTATTCTTTTTTTTTTTTTTTTTTTTTTGAGACAGGGTTTCTCTGTGTAGTTCTGGCTGTTCTGGAACTTACTCTGTAGACCAGGCTGGCCTTAGACTCAGAGATCCGCTTGCCTCCGCCTCTCGAATGCTGGGATTACAGACATGTGCCACCATGCCTGGCCAGAGATTATTTTTTCAGTTACAACTTTACTGTGGAATGACTTTAGAACTGCAGACTTACGAAGAGGGCATAGACTTCTGTGTGTGAGCTCTCTGTTTTAGAGCTCTCTAGTATTAACATTTTCCTCAGCACAGCACACTTGCTAGAATTAACTCTGGCGTGTTCTGCTGATTAATCTAGGTCTCCCCACCAGTGTCCTGCCTCCTCCAGGGTCCCAAGTTTGTGCTGTGATGTGTACAGCATTTCTCTTTTCCAAGTACCCTTCACATGCCTATTAAGCAGGAGTCCACGTTAAAGGTGTCACATTGTGTCTTCAGAGCCCAGACAACGATACTACCAGTGTTCAGGAGGTTCAGACCCACTAGCGGCTCTTGAAGAAAGGGCCTGTGCGCCCACTGATCAGCTGCGCCCCTACTGCTCTGCGTGTCACACTCCCACACAGCTCTGGTTGCTTCCTTGAGCCTGGGTAAATTATATCACCTCCATCGTTGGCAAGAAAAATATTGAACCAAAATTTACCTCCATCCTCTTCAGTGGGCTGGTAGAATGGAAGCGGCACACCCTGAAACAGAAGGGAAGCTCAGCTGAGGTCTCGCCCCAGGCATTGCTTTGGTAAGGGGTGGCTCTGGGTGTTCACAGGTATGCGGAGGGGGGACTGTGAGGACCAGAGGGGATATGTTTCTGCCTTGCTCTTGGGAGTTACAACCCACAGAACCTGCCATTCTCCTAAAGAGCTCACTGTGACTACGCAGACCAGGCAATGGAAGCCACGGACGGACTCTCACAACATACCTGGCCACCCCATGCAAAGCAGGTGCCTCAACCATTGGCATGCTAGACAGGATGGGAGAGAAGGGAGTCCAGCTACTTCTCCTAGCATCCCACGGGAATCTCTAGTGGACTAAGGTGGAGAGCAGAGACAAGCAAACTACAGCTTGAGGACAAATTTGGCTGAGGCCATTTTTATAAATGACGTTTTCATGGGCCTTCCCCACAGTCATCTGTTTATAAGTGGCCTATGGCGCTATAATGCTACCGGGCCATGTGTGGCCTCACAGATTAAAACACCTGCTGCTTGGCTCTCTGGAGGAAACAGTTTGCTAACTTAGAGCTTGGAGGTGAGTTCTAATCCTAGTGACAGAAATGACTAACAAACATACAGAAACTGAAAAGGACCAGTTTCTTGCTCTAGAACTGCATTTACTGAGCCTGAGGCAAACATGGAGTAGGGGAAGGGGACCCACCCTGTACCTCATAGAGTTTGGTGGCAGTGAATCTCCTACCAGTGGTGTTGAATCCTTCCATAATTACAACCTGAAAGACAAGAAACACAAGACAGGGAGATAGGAGAGATAAAGGAGAGGTGTGAGATAAACTACTTTTGGTAATTCTAAACTTCGGGGCATTTCCCAGAAAACAAATGGAGTCCTTCATTTGTTACATATCAGTTACAATCAGGCTCTATACAAACGACCTGATTCTCATAACGATCCCATGAGGTAAGAATTTGTATTTCGTTTTGTGGATGAAGACAGCTTGGCCTCGAAGGTCAAGCACCTTGCCCATAGCCACGTATCTCAGGAGGTGGAGCTGGGATATGAACCCGGGCAATTAGACCCAGAGCTAAGGTCAGAGCACGTATCTCAGGAGGTGGAGCTGGGATATGAACCTGGGCAATTAGACCCAGAGCTAAGGTCAGAGCAAGGAGAGAAAGAACAGTCCCTAAAATCATGGGCCTATGCAATCCGATCTCATGGCAACAAGAGACAGAAAACAAGAAAGGACTGCCCACTGCACGCTGCCCAGGTCTGCATCCCAGAAGGCTCCATTCTCACCTGTCCAGGAAAGAGGGAATATTCCTTGAGGTCAGACAAATCCACCGGAATCTGAGTGCCTGAGGAGTGTTCCCGGTCTCCCTCAAGAATCACTGACTTGCTGTTCAGCCTCCCATTGCTGTCACAGCCGATCTGACCCAGCAGGGTGACAGGCTCCTGCCAAAGGAAGGTGGCAACATAAGAGTGGGCACAGCAAAACCCCTAACAGCGTATGTTTTGGGAGGTGATCACAAAATCACCACTGACACTGAAGGGCTCCACAGGGGTGTCTGGTCCACCACCTGCTAACAGGTATGCTCTGAGCAGCTCCCAGAGTGGGAGCATCCCCGACAGGGAGAATTCCCTCCAGCCCTGCAGCCCCCAGCTCTTCTGAGAAACCATAGCTATTAATAGGTCACTGAGCCTACCACACATTGTTCTTAGCTGACACGTATTAACTCATTCAGCCTTCACAACCACCGCAACATAGACATGGCTGCACCCAGCAACAAGCAGCAGAGCCACGTGTAATTTCATTAAGGTCAAATAATAGGTGGAGCCTGGACCCAAAGGTCAGAGGTTAGGTCCAGAGCCAAATCCTCAGCCATGCTACAGTACTGCTGGGTACCCTCATGCTCTTGCCTCTCCCCAGGGGCTTGCTACACTGCCCATGCTGGCCTTGAACTCCCAGTCCTCCTGCCTTGGGCTCCCAAGTGCCCGGATACCATGCAGGATATCATATTGCCACTCCCACAGGAAGTTATTCATAGACGGAACTGAAATCTCTCCTAGCGGCTTCCTGTGTAGGACTTCCACTCTTGGGAGAAAACTGAGTAAGTCTAATTTTTCCCTCATGTGAGGCCCTGCCCCCACACTTCCTCTCAATTTCTCTAAAACTTCCCACAAGACAAAGTGTGTATGGTCCCTCTTCCCTGGAGGCGGAACATGGGACAACGGCACACTTAAGGATTATGTAAGACACATCCCGTAGATTAGCAATGCTCCAGAGAAAGCCCCTACAGCAGAATGAAAGCCTGCTGTAACTGCAGATGCCAGAGGCAGACAGTCATCTGCAACAGTGCTCAAACCAGACACATCTCCGCATGAGGGCTCTCCAAAGGCCACCTGCCCGCCACCGAGAAAATAAGCTTTTGCTTATGTGTGAGACCCGGTCCAAGAGGGAGGAAGGAAAGTCTAGGGAGCACCCGCCTTCTTCCAGAGGGACCCATTTTTATCAGAGCCCAGCAAGACTGGTGCTGAAGCAGAACACTGGTGAGTGGAAAAGGGCCTCTTCACTGACTTCAAAGAGTAGCAATAATGTAAGCTGGGCATGACGGCACACGCCTTTAACGCCAGCACTCAGGGAGATGGGCAGGTTTCTCAGTTCAAGGCCAGCACTGTCCACATCAGGAGTTAAGAGTAGTGAGGACTCTTCAAATGACTTACTTGTGCTGGGACTAGGAGAGGAGAAAAAGCCTCGATCTTGTAATGCTCCTTCAGTTCGCTGCCGAGCTCTTCTATCTTACAGATCAGAGCTGCAATCCAAAGGTAACGGGGTGCTGTCATCAAGACATTTCACTCGGCGAGAAGGAGCAGCACACTGCTAAACATCACACTCTATAGGACCCGGGAGCATGGACATCTGACCTGTCCATTTTCTGACACAGTTACTAATCTGGTTCAGAGCATCAGCGAAACACCCCCCCCCCCTCGGTAGAGTGCAGGGAAGTCAAGGACAACCTGGGAGAGTTTTCCAGGAAGAGCTGAGCTTCACAGCTCAGGACCCATTAGTAGGGTGGCTGTCTGCTCTTCAGTGAAGTGACACACGGCTTGGGAAATTACAGCATCACCCAGTGTCCTTCCCCTTCGCTGACAGAGCAGCCACGAGGACGTGGGCTAATTCTGGATTCAGAAGCTGAAGCTGAACCAGGCTTTGCTCCTTCACTCCTCTCAGTCCTTCCACAGGGCTCTCAACCCTCTAGACTTCCCAAGAGAAAGCAAGTCACCTTCGCGAATATCTGGGAGCTGCTGAAACATAGATTTGTAGGTGCCAGTGAGGGGCTCTATGGCCTTCAGGGTGACGCTTCCAGAACTTCCTCTCCCGGACCAAGACACGCCCTCCGCTGATCCAAAGGTGACAACCACCTCTCCCCGGTTGGTTCTTGAGTTGTACTTCTGGGAAGGGGTAGCACTGAGGGGAAGCAGAACAGGTCTGAGTTACTGTGCCGTGGCTACCTGAGCAAGGAACACAATGAGGCAAGGCTTTGGAGGCCTGGAGGGAAAAAAGCAAGCTGTCTTACAGATCTAATCAATGTGCTGGGGCTGGAGTGCTCTGACCTTTCAGGAATTTTGAGAATGAGGTGCCGAGGAACACCAGACTCCAAAAGTTTAGAAGTTTAAAGACAAAAACATAAAAAGGTTATTTTTTTCTCCATCAAAACGAAATGAAGCAAAGACAAAATGCACTCTTGAACTGACTGAATGACAAGTTTCAAGTATTTTCCTTCCTTCTGAGTCACTTGCTGTTATTTGATCCTGAAACAGTGACTGGGTCAGAGATTGCTGAGCACAGACAAGAACCTATAATAGAGTTGAAGCCAGGCATGGTTTGTCTGCAATCCTACCACTGCAAAAGTGAAGGCAGCACAGGACCTCAAGGCCATCCTTGGCTAACGCTGAGGACAGCCGAGGCTATATAAGACCTATCTCAAAAACAAAAAAACCCCAAACAAATAAAAAACTCACAATGCAGTTCAGAGTACAAACAACACTAAAATAAAAGTTTGACAGAACTAACGAAACTTTCCCTTGCCTCTGTGGAGGTGGAGATGCAAGGAGTGAGCAGTTAACAGGGAGCAAGCAGCCCCTCACAGCACCCCGAGGCTGACAAATTCCTTGTCCTCTCTGACTAGTGAACCACACCTCCAAGAAAGATGGGTGTCACTGGTCTGCTTGGAAGCTTCTAATCTTCCTGCTGCGAACACTGCTTATAGGGAGGCCTAGAAACCCGTTACTCCCAGCACATTAAAACCCCCACAGGAACTCATTTCACAGGGGGCATGATCGTAATTGCTGCCAACACCCCTTCTTCCCAGACAAGCTACAGAAAATGAGCTCAATGATGTCTCTGGGGCTGCCTCTTCCTAAATAACTTACAGACTGCTTTTGTAAACTACGATTTAAAGGGCTTCCTGCTTAGAAAGCCTAACCCTCACAATGACTCTGCAACAACTATTCGAACCCTCGCAGGTTTCAGAGACATCCTTTCAAATCTAGGAAATTCATTCGGAAAGGAAAGCAGGTTTGAGATCTTGCCGAACCAGGCAGAGGACAGTGAAAACAAACTGTTCTTCAGGATGCAATGACCGCCAATGGCCAATGACTGCAGAGCTTGTCACCGCTCCTCTGCTTTTTAAGATCTGCATTTTATGTGTATGAAGTATTCTGCCTGTGTGTACGTGTGTGTGTGCTGTTTGTGTGCCTGGTGTTTGCAGAGGCCTGAGGAGCTCATAGAGCCCATGGAATTGGGGTTACAGATGGTTGTGGGGACACGATGTACAGGCTGAGAATTGAACGTGTGTTCTCTGTAAGAGCAGCAAGTGCTCTTGACTGCTTTAGGCTCCGTCACCACCTCTGAAGTGACAGAACTGAGAAGCCTACATTCTGGTGTTTAGAGGTTGTTATTTCCCTAAATGGTTCAGATGCTGTTCCTGAGCCCCATCCTGATGGGACAGCCCTACAAACACATTCCCTCAGCCAAGGGCTCACTTGCAGGGTTCTCTAATGGACACCTATCATTTATGGATCATGAGTCCCACGTGATCTCTGCAGATGTATGCACAGGGGCAGCAGCCATGAGGAAGTATCAAGTAAGCCCCTGAAGAAACTCAGTGACAAATGTTCAGAAACCAGCTGTCACCTGAGCATGGGATGAACAGGTTATGCAATGCTTTGAACAAAGGTGCATGCTTTTCCTTTCAAAACCACTTCAGATTACAAAAAAGCAAAAAACCAAGTAAACACAAACAGCAGAAGCAGGTGAGAGCCTATTTGCCCTGACTGGCCCGACTCGCCAGACCCCTGGGCTTCTGAATAGCCAGGCTGTTTTCAATAGGAGATATCAGTTCCCTATCTAGGAAAGGAGTCCTAGAGAAGTGGGTGGGAAGCAAGTTTCCTTAATTACTGTACGAAACAGTAATTTTCCACAAGAGAAGTGCAGGCTTTACAGCCAGCTCGCAGCAGGCGGCTGCTCCGCTCCTACAGCTGTTAATAAGTTACTCGTAGCTTGCCTTGTCAGCAGAGGGGGATGGGTGGGTGGGGCTTTCTTGGCACCTGCATAGATGATGATACATACCTTGGGGAGAAGCTTGATGGTGAGAGAAGCTGATGTGGGCTGAGAGCAGAGACACTCCTTTTTGTTAGGGGGGTTTCTAGGGAGCTGCTAGCTCGCTTATAGGAACCCTAGAAACGAGAGGAAGAACGAAATCCCAGTCACATCCCAATAAAGGACATGGGGCAGGGCTGGGGATCCTTAGGGACCATCTCCAGCAGTGACCACACAGACCTTCAACAGCAACAGGACAACCCCGCTCTTGCCACTCTGACAGCTGCCGCCTGAACTGTCGACCTGCACTGGCACCTCCCGTCCCTGCCACTTTCTGCTCTCAGGAAAGACCAGAGTTTGGCAGTGCACAGCTTTGACCTTCGTGCACACATTCTCCTGAGAGGGGATGGGACCACATTACACTTCTTTTGGCCAAGTCTACCACACATTTTCCAAATTATGGCCTGGAATAAGTCCAGGCAGATAAGATGGTTGAGCTCATACTTGGAGGGAGTAGTCGGCAATCACCTCACTAACGGTCACATCTGGTCCATTTTAACCTTTTCTTTTCTACTCCTTTGCTCATATATAGGAAGCCAAAGATAAGTCCAGAATTAAGGGTGAAACCCAATCATAGGACCTCACTTTCCCAAAAGCCTAGGATAATGGGAGATTAACAGGAGAGACAAATGTTTTGCCCAGCACAATTTCTCCATCTCAGATGCACAAACTTTTCTGACTCAAGGGCTCCTCCTGTTGGTGCATTTAAAGAAATGACAAGCTACCAACTGGTAGAGCCAGAGGGACCCGAGGTGAGAACAAATAACACTAACATAGATAGGTGTGATGGCTCATACATCAAATTCTAACTTTTGGGAAATTGCAATTCAAAGGTTTCCCGACTTTTGGGCCAGCCTGGGCTACACAGTTAGACCCTGACTTAAAAACAAAACAAATAAACAACAACAACAAAAAAAAAAAAAAAAAGAAAGAAAAAAAAAAAGAAGAAGAAGAAGAAGAGGCTGCCTTGGAAACTAGAGTTCTAAATATTTGTGGTTTTATGTATTAGTTTAAATATCTTATTTGTGTTTTGCGGGAGCATGTGCCTGCAGGTGAAGGTGCCCGGGGAGGCTGGATGGTGCAGGTGCTGAGAACAGAACTTGGGGCACTCTGCAAGAGCAGCCAGATCTTGAACCCACTATGGAGCTGAGGCTGGCCTCCAGCTCCTGATCTGCCTGCCTCCTCCTCACAATTACAGCTGTGCAGTGCTGCATCTGGTTTTCAAACTAGGTTCTACATTTCCTATCTTTCATTTCTCTATGAACACACTTCTTAGGGGGGTGCGTGCGCAGCGTGTGCGGGCATGTGTGCCCCGGTGCAAGCGGGCATTGTCAGAGGACTATGTGGTGGAGCTGGTTTTCTCCATCCACCTTTACCTGAGTTCTGGAGATGGAAGCCAGGTCATCAGGCTTGCACTGAAAGTGTCTTTACCCACGGGTCCTCTAAAGTAGCCACTGTATACTCCTCCAAAATGACAGTCTCTCTGTGAAATCCTGGCTTCCCGGAACTATGCAGACCAGGCTACCCTTGAATTCAGAGATCCTTCCAACTCTGCCTCCCAAGTCCTGGTAATAAAGGCATGGGCCACCATGTGGCCAAAATAAACCAGTCTTAAACATTCCTTAACTGTAGCTTACTATCCTTCAACTAAATATATAAGCTAAAATAGCTTTCCTAATTTAAACATAAAACTTAACAGTATTTTACATACTGACTTTTAAATTCTGTATGCATTTTCTTACACTGGTATAATCTGTATCCTTGGTCCCCGAGTTATCTGATTGAATTTGTGATAAGTTCTACGCCTCCTCTACGGCTAGGTTATAGGTAATTTTTAATTTCTTGATTATAAACAGCTCTGATGCACACCATCACGCATCATTCTACGATCTGGGTCATTTGCCCAGACATTTTTAGGGGCCGCTGGGAATGGACTGCGGGGCCTTGTGCACACTAAACATGTACCCTGGCTACGCTCCTAGACCCCAGGAGATGTTCACTGGGAAGAATGGTTAAGGCAGAGGGTAAACAGGACGTTAGGGTTTCTCCAGCGACTTTCCAGAGATGCCTCCAGCACCTAAATCTGCAGCTACCATGAGCCAGGCCCTAGGGAAAGAACGGTGAACGAAGCAGCCTTCTGTGACAGAGCAAAAGGACCAAAACTAAGGTCCATGGTGAAAAATAAGGCAGAAAATAGACACAGGAGAGCAAAAGGCAGGAGGCTGCCACTTTAATCAGGGTAGTCCTCCTACCCCGCCACAGGAGGCTACCAGGTAAGCGTATGTTTGATATGCCTGAAGACCAAGCAAGAAGACAAGTGTGAGAGAAGGGGAAAGAGAGGACCCAGGTGGGACCACGTCAGACATCTCCTGCTCGCACTACTGGTCACACTGTGAACCTGAGGAGGGAAAATCACAGGGGTTGTGAATTTACTTTGTTTGGTGAGACCAGGCTATCCTGGAACTCACAGAGATCCCCCTGCCTCTGCCTCTCAAGTACTGGGACTGAAGGTGTGCACCACCATGCTCAGCTCCGCAATAGTTTTAAGAATGTTACTTGTAGGATGCAATTCCTAGACTCCTCGTGCTCACCTTAGAGGGTGTGGTGTAAGAGTTCAAGAGCGTCTCCTCTTCTTCCTCTGCTTCAATTCTGAAAGCACTGGTCAAGAAGAGTAATTACATGAGACTAGGTGAGAAACCGAATGTTAGGTATTTTATTTATTTATTTATTGGTTTTTCGAGACAGGGTTTGTCTGTGTAGCCTTGGCTGTTCTGGACTCACTTTGAAGAACAGGCCACCTGCCTCTGCCTTCCCGAGTGTTGGGATTACAGCTGTGCGCCACTGCACCCGACTTAAAATTTTGTCTTTAAATTATATGTGGCTTGGTGCAATGACCTTCAGCAGAAAAGGATACAGCTCTTGGATGGAAACAATGTCTCTCGTTCCTGCATGCCCACTGTTTTTGGAGGCACTGTGCCAAGCTTTGGATAATTTTTTGTTCAGAACCTGAGGAATGGAATAGAAGAAGATGGTGAATATTTTATTCCATAGTCTGATAATGGGGAGGGCATTTCCCATTTGAAGTAACAGGCATCAAGACGTAAGCAGAGAAAGGCGAGGTCTTGCCAGGCATGGATGAGGCCCTGGGTTCAATCCCACTGTCACCCCACTCCCACCCTTAATGCCAGCATAAGGAGGCAGAAGTACATGGATCTCTGACTTCAAGGGCAGCCTGATAGTAAAACCCTGTCTCTAAAACAAACAAAAACATGACAGGCTAGGCATGGTGAAATTTGCCTGTCACCCTAGCATTTGGGGGACAGCAGGATCAGGATCACACAGACGTGCACAAGCAGGCACACACTGAAAATAAAAGCTTTGCCCATAGGAGCTGGAGGGACGGCTCAGTGTGCCACGGACTGGCCCAGTTGGGCTCCTGGCGTCGGCGGGAGAACAAGGCTTCGGACAGGAAGACAGTTTCAGCGATGAATTGACAGACAGAGACACCTTGATGGTTTTGGCTCTGCTGCGACTTTACTGAAATCAAGCTAGTATTTTTATAATGATTTCACAAAAGGCACCTTAAAGTTGGCATACTTACCAGAACATTTAGACTTTTACCAAGAATACAAAGTTTACATTTTAACTCAAAATGTAGTCAAACATAAAGCAGTGCCCACAAGAAATCTTGGCCTAAAAACTTTTTGATCAGAGCAAACAAAGAAAAAGAAACCTCAAATGTAGTTTCATTATTGCTAACCAGTGAAGAGGAAAGTTAGGAGCTAAGTCAGATGCCTGCCAAAATCTTTCTCTATATCAAAATCTAACTACACCTTTGTTAACCATCCTCCCATATGTCCTGCTAAAGATTTATGATCTTCCTTAGAAACAAGGCACTGAAGGGAGGGGAAACTCCCACCAGCTGCACCTCTCATGCTATTTTTCTTAAGCCTATTATTATTTTACTATTTTTAATGCCTATTAATACTAAATCTAATTCATTACTTTTCTTAAACTTATTCCTTTTACATTTTATTTTTATTAAAGCCTTTAATAATCTACTAATAATAAATTTCTTTATAAAATTAGTTGTGCTGTTTCAGGAGTCACAGAGAAAGATCAAAAAACTCATTAGTCCAGCCCCAGAACTGCAACTGAAAAAGCATAGAAATCTCAGAACACGTCTCTTTGCCAGATGGGGGGGTCTGCCAGGGACCTTCCAGGGAGCGAATTTCCGAAGAAAGAGTGTCTCCCGCCCTGTAGCACATGCTACTATGGCGACACTGGCGTGGGTGTAGCATCAGTGGTTAAAGGCAGAGTGCTCGTCTAGACGATCTGAGCTCAATTCCTAGCACCCACCTTAGGCAGCTCACACCTCCTGTAACTACAGCTCCAGGGCGCCTCTGGCCTCTGCAGCTACCCGTGTTCATGCACACAACCCACACACATACACACAATTAGGATAACAATAAAATAAATATTAAAACTTACTGTCTGCCGATGACACACAACTATGATTCTCTTTCATGCCGACCATCTACCAGGTGGCTCTAGGTGCTCTATATACACCCTCATTTAATATTGATAATGCTCATTAAAAACACAGGTTATTAGAACTTGACAGAAAACAAAAACAAAGCCAAGTCTCAGAAATAGTAAATAGGGAAGCAATGACATGGCTCAGAGGGGAAAGGCACTTTCTGCTAAGCCTAACGGCCTGAGCTGAGTTTAGATCCCAGAACCCACTAAGTAGAAGAAAAGAACCACCTTTTTTTTTTTTTTTTTCTCCTTTTCAAGACAATGTCTCACTCTGTCCTGGAACTCACTATGCAGACTAGGCTGGCTTCAAACTCAAGAGCTCCACCTGCCTCTGCCTCCTGAGTGCTGGGATTAAAGGTGTGGGTTTGCACCCAGCTAGAACCAATTTCTTATAGCTGTCCTCTAACCTCTGTAGCACGGGTGTGCATACACATGCACAATAATAAACAAACATACAAAAACACAGACACTATGATAGAAAGAAACACAGAAGGGAAGGAAGGCGCAGGCCAACCCCACACTGGGACAGGAATCCAGGTCACACTCCAAAGCCTGCCTCTTTTCATACCTCTGTCAGGAGAATGTCTTTAATTAACGTGCATTTTCTCTTACCTCGTGTTCAAAAGAGTGCAGGATCTCTGAAGTAAGGTACATTTTCCCTGTGCTGGTGCAGAAGGCGATAAGCTCGCTTACCATTCCCTCCTCAGTCTGTCTGTATTGAACACACAGCTCTGCCACTGTAGGGAGAAAAATCAGATAGGTAAGAACCTGGTTCGTTTATTACCACTTTCATCCTGACAGGTCAAAAAGACATCTGTTATCCAGCATCCACAGGCTCTGGGAGCAGAGCAGTGCATAAAAACAAGAATCATTCTTGCTCACAGGAAGCTCATTCTTGGGTGAAGACAAAACAAGGAAGTATATGATACTTTAGATACACAAAGGTGCCATGTAGCCGGAAGAAGCTGGAGGAGGGGATCAGAGAGCTGGGGAGGGGCTGGCAATGTGAAATACGAGGGGCCGGGGGGACGCCCCAGCAGGTTAAGTGCTTGCCACGCAAGCCTGAAGACGGAGCACAGGGGGCGCAGCAGCATGACTGCAAAGCCCCCGGTGTGGAGGGCAGACAGGGAATGCCTGAAGCGAGCTAACTAGACAGATCAGCTGAAACAGTGACGGTGGGTCGCAAGAGCCCCTGCCTCAATATAGAAGATGAACAGTGCTCAAGGAGGACAGAGTGGGTCACCAAAGGAATGAACGCATCCAGCACGAAGAGGTTTTGGTTCTGAGTCCTGGCTATTCATGTGAAGATGAAAATGGATCTCTAAGGGCTGAGAAATGATGGCGAGCAAATCCAAAAGAGGCTGAGGAGCGGCGGCAGTGAAGCTACAGCAAGAATGTGCTCCTGATGGCACACAGGCAGCAGCAACTGTGGTTCCGGACTCCCTCTGACTCTGGCTCTGACTCCCTCTTTTGGCTTTGGAGGGTTCTGCATATCTGTGGTGCACCTCTGTCTCACAGGTGAATACTTGTCCACAGGAAGTATATACACATCTCCGTTTTTGAAAGATGGACAAATCACACCCCCAATTAAGACAGGACCAAGTCTCCAAATGTTGAACTCCGTCTGGCAGGATGAACCAATGACCAGATTTAGTATGAACCCTCAGCCTCGCCATCCTGTGAATCTATATAGACCCAGCTTTCTTCTCCTCCAGTGTCTTCTCTTGGAGTTGGACATGATTTTGTTACTCGTTTCATCTGAATCCACTGAGGAATAGGACGATTTTGCTTCTGCTTCTTGGCCAGGAATTGCTTGATTTGGAAAGTCTTGTGAGAAGACATGGCAAGAGGCCAAATCAGGTGTTTTTGGTGCACGATGGCGGAAAAAAGTGCAAAGAGAAATCTCTCTTCCTCTCTCTCTTTTAAAGAATGGGTTTTAAAGAAAAGGAAACAATGAACAGTTGCCAATCCTGCTGATAATTGAAAATAAAAACTAAGATGTTATCCCTGGCTTTGGCCAGTAGTTCCCTAAATTTGTGAGGACAGAAAAGCTACATAAAGGACTTACGAAGAGAAACTAATACATCAAGCACACACAACCCTTCCGAAGAGGCCTGTTGTAACCGGAAAGGAGAGGATTCAGGCTTGGGGTCAACAAAGCACTTCAGGCAAAAGACATGTTTCTGCCAGTTGCGGCGGCACCTGCCTTCAGGCTGCACTGTGAGACTTCATCTCAGCAGCAACAGCAACAGAAAAAAGCAGGAAACATACCTCTAAGCTTCAAAGGCATAGGGTTTAAAAAAAAAAAAATCAAAACTATATGCAGGAGTACTTTGCCTGCATTTAAGTGTACAAGATGCATGCAGTGCCTGTGGTGGCCAGAAGAGGGCACTGGATCCCCCGGAACGGGAGCTGCAGACCCTTAGGGAGCTGGGAAGTCAATGCTGGTCCTCGGCAAAGCAGTTAAGTGCTCTCAACCGCGGAGGATCTCTCCAGCTCTGAGGCCCAAAATCGTCAAAAGATTTCAACTTCTTACATAAGAAATAAAACCAGAATATTAAATACTTATGTTAGGGGGTGAATTCCTGGAGTGATGTCTGTAGGGTGTGGGATTTTTCTTTTTCATTTCAATAGGTTCTAGGTATGTGGCACAGACAAAAAGTAGGCCACTAAGGGGAAGTTTTGTTTTCTCTTGGGTTTTGACTTGGTTTTTCAGGACAGGGTTTCTCTGTGTAGCCCTGGCTGTCCTGAAATGTACAGTGACCCGCCTGCCTCTGGCTCCCAAGTGCCGGGATTAAAGCTGTGTGCCACCACTGCCGCCCGGCTGGAAGGCTTTTAATGTTTCTACTTTATTTTTATTTTATTTTATTTCTTTATTTTATTTCTAGTGAAATAGGAAATACGTTCACCTGCTGTTCAAGGAGAAAGGGAAAAACAGTCCCTAGCACGCCAGGAGAATAAACAGGAACAGACCAGAACTGTCAGGGAACACTAGTGTTCCACAGAACTTAGGGATTTGAGCGTAAAGTCTACAGTTCCAACTGCGTTGCCAACATAGTCCTATCCAGACGGAAGCAGCAGGCATCTTGGTCTGAAGTCTCTCTACACGTTAGGTTCATAGAGCTAGGTGTGTGGCTCATGCCTGGAACTCGCAAACAGGGGTAGGAGATAGAGCTGTGGGTCCGAGACCAGCCCAGTGGTCCACATAGTGAGTTCTGGGACAGCCAGGGTACATGGCGAGGCTCTGTCTCTAAAAATCTCTAATTGAGGAAAGTCACACATCAGCCCGTGACTAGGTGCGAGCTGCAAACGGCTCCAACGTCACCTCCTGGCAATGCCACCCGTTGGTCAATCGGGACCCAAGCGGTACCCCACGAGCGTAGGACACTTGGAAGCAACCCCCCCCCCCCCCGGTCCGGACTCACGCTTCTCCATCAGGGAGTCCTCGCAGTCCAGGCCGAAGATCTGCAGCTCCTCCGCCAGCTGCTGGGTGGACACGGCCATGGTGACCCGGGAGGCCCGGGAGGGGGCCGCCGGGCTCGGACCTCGGCTCAAGTCTGCTCAGCTTCGCGGGAAGGCCACGGGGACACGCCACGAGACCCAGCGGCCGAAGCCACCGGGTCACAGAGAACACTCCCTGCCGAGAGCCGCTGCCTAGCCTCTCCGCGAGGAGCGCCGCCGGGAAAAAACCCGCCAAACGCCGCGGCCGGCGCGCGCGTGCGCGGGGACCGGGTCGGCCCCGCCCTCCCCGCGCACGCGCCGGACCCCCCCCCCCATCCCCATTGCGGCTGCGCAGAACGAAGCCGAGCGGCCCCGCCTCGCTCTGCGGCGGAGGGTGCCAGGCGTCGCCCGGCTTGCGAAGCTCAGCGGGGCCCTCGTCTGTCCCCTTTTCCCCGGCCAGGAGGCGCTGTTCGTCCGCATCTTGCAGCGGCCGAACCCCGCTGTGCCCTGCACGCCCCGGGAAGGGCGCGTTGGCTCGGCCCCACTCCTCCTGCGGTTGCTCGGCTCATCCTGATCCTGACGGGCTTTCGTAGGGGACGTGGTGCTTAGAGCTGTTGTGATCGTCATCCACAGGGATAGAGGGCTCTTTTCTGAGGCTGTGACATTTTGGTGGATCCGGGGTGAAAAGCTGACTAATGAGAATGTCCGGGCCGAGGTTTCGAAAAGGCCACTCGGAGGGCAGGTCACTGAAGCGGAGAGCTTAGAGAGTAAAATGAGGAGGGCCTTCCCCTCCTGATATATTTTCTAATTTTTTTTTTTTAACCGAAATCTCCACTGTCAAGTGACCCCCATTCACTAAGAATGGAATTGAAGACTGGAAGAGCCATTTAAGAAAACAGTTTGGGCAGGCGTAGTGACTCAGGCCTTCATCCCAGCGCTCAGGGAGGCAGAGGCAGGCGGTGAGTTCCGGGACAGCCAGGGCTACAAAGAAAAACCCTGCCTTGAAAACAAGCAAGAGTTTGAAGCTAGGTCTGGTAGCACACGCCTGAAGTTCCAGCACTTGGAGGCTGAGGTAGATCTCTGCAAGTTCCAGCCAAGGCTATTCAGAGAGACTCACAAATACCCATTAAAAACTACCACCACCACCACCAAAACATGCCTTTAGCTCCAGCACTCAAGAGGCTGAGGCAGGTGTCTGAGGCCAGCCTGGTCTACAGAGCGAGTTCCAGGACAGCCAGTTGTACACACAGAAACCCTGTCTCAAAACAAAAACAAAAGCAAATAAGTATGTGTGTTTGTGTGTGTTTAAGGCTCATTGAACTGGTATGGTGGCTCTTATCTGCAATTTCAATATTTGAGAGGCTGAGGCAGGAGATTAACATGAGATTTCTACCAACCTATGCCACTGTAATGTGACTGTTTAACAGGAAAAACAACCTTACTGATAGTTCACATTAGTAGCAGGAGGCACTGGGCGGGGCTGCAGGAATTTGGCCACCAGGTGGCAGCAATGTGCCAGGGTTTAAGTCCCTGAATTCTACTGCACACCAATGCTATCCGAGGGTTAAGGCTTTTCTGATAATAGTTTAAACACAAAGTCATGAATTTGAACCAATTAACAATTGTTTAAAGAGATTAGGGATGTATCACACGTGGTAGAGGGCTTGCCTACCACATATTAAAGCCTTGGGTTTGAGCCCCAGCATCCAAGGAATGGGGCTGGTGGCATATTTGTAATCCCAGTACTTGAGAATGAAGGCACAAGGACCAGATAGATGTTCTCCTTAGTTACATAAGGCGACCAAGGCCAGCCTGGGCCACAGGAGACCCTGTCTCAGAAATGCATGGACGGCTGAACAGATAAATAAAGCAAAGTTGTGTTTCTTTTTACTCTTATTATTTTATGTTTTGCCTTCATGTATGTCTATGTACTATGTTCATTCCTGATGGTGAGGAAGCCAGAAGAGGGCATCAGATCCCCTGGAATTGGAGTTACAGAGAGTTGTGAGCCACCATGTGGGTGCTGGGAATTGAACTCAGGTACTTTGCAAGAGCAGTAAATCTCTTAAATGTTGAACTAGCTCTGTAGTCCCCAAAGTAGTGGGTTTTTTGAGACAGGGTTTCTCTCCATAGCCTTGGCTGTCCTGGAACTTGCTTTGCAGACCAGGCTGGCCTCAAACTCAGAGATACACCTGCCTCTGCCTCCCGAGTACTGGGATTAAAGGCTTGCGCCACCACCAGGCCTGGCAAAAGTAGTGTTTCTTAAACAACCCTCAGAGGCCAACCACAAAGCAAAGAAAGGAAGGAAGAAAGAAAGAAAAGCCACAACTTTATGGAGCTGCCTCCGAGGCACTGTGGTAGAGCTGTGGTGAGAGGCAGGGAGGACTAGGAATTCAGAGGGCATGGTGCAGCTGCTGAGCTCACCCAGCATGTACTCGGTCGGGGGGGCTCTCCCCCGCATCTTTACTCCCTAAGAGAGCACCCTACTGCAGACACACACACACACACACACACACACACACACACACACACACACACAGAGCCAGCCTGTACAGGCTCACTCCCTGTTGAGGCCATTGTGACCTATCACAAATCAATATATGACCCCATCAGCTCCAACCCCTTCCAGTGAGCTCCGCTCCAATTCCTCATCTCAACCTGACCCAGGAGAGCCACTGCCACATGGTCGCCGAGCTGGTCCTCCCTACTGGAATGTCCCCAGCTCCAGCTCCTGGAGAAGCTAACCCCAGCTTCTCTTTTCTTGTCTCATCTCTGTAGTATTTTCTCAGTGTCATCTTGCCTGGCCTCCGGGCCCCTGCTTCCTCCGGGATTGCACACGGCTCACATTTGGACTGGTATTTTTCCATCAGAACACTCCCTGCTCTGACCTGGCGCCCGGCTCCTGGCCGGCTCTCAGTAGATGCCTATCGACTGAGGAAGCTGAGGGTCAGGGAAACTGGCGGAGGGTCTGCCAGGTGGTGGGGAGCCTCTCCAGACTGTGTCACATTGGATTGGAGTCCTTTGTAACACTGACCCTAGCACACTGGTGAGAATGAAACTGAGTTTGCTGGTAGAACCCCCGAGTGCCCACAAAACCAAGGAGGCAAAGATAAAGCAACAGGAAGCCTTGTGCCACCCTCTCCACCAAAACTAAACCAAATAAAAACTGGGTTCCGCTGTTAGATAATAAAAGAGTAGTAACAAGAGGATGTCAAACAACTAAAAAAAAAAAATATATATATATATATATGTCTGTACTTCTGTACCATTTTGTGCAACTCAAAAGCCATTTTTATGGCATTTGAAATCATACGAAATTTGGGTTTGCCATCTGGTAGCTCTGATAAGAGCTGGGCCTCTGAGGCAAGCCCCTGGCAGGCTCAGATAGGAGCCTGTTCCGGGACAACGCCTTGATAAGCTAATGAACTAACCCAAGGTGGTGCTGATGGGCTAGTAGATCAACCCGAAGCTGTGAGCCCTAATAGCGCAAAGGTACCTGCCCAGGGAAATTACACAAAATGTGAGCATTGGGAATGGTCTCTAGGATCCCACGCTGACAAAACCTGGCTTCTCTACCCACTGGCAAGAGAACTTGAGACTCTCTGTGTGGCCCTGGTCTCAATGACTTTGAATTTTCAGCACTTTCAGGGCTAGCCTGTGCTCTCAGGGACCTCCTGGACCTTCATCGGCTCCATCTTCCCAGGATGGAAGGGCTTCCCATAGCTGAAGGGCTTCACGGTAGGCGCGGCTCGAGTCTGCAGACTTCCGAGGCATCCTAACGAGATTTCCCAGGGGGACCCTGCCGCAGCATTTCTGCCCAAATAACCGCTCCCTGCTTGGTGGGATGCCTAAGGTCTCTGTTAGCATGATATATAAGGAATGTCTGTGTGAATAAACCAGGCATATTCGAAAGACAAATCTCGTGTGGACGTCCTAATTTCCCAGTGACTTACAGTCTCAGAGGCCATGATCTCTACACACAACTTTAAACCCAGCACCTAGGAGGCAGAGGCAGGCAGATATCTGTGAGTTCAAGGCCAACTTCTTCTACAGAGCAAGGTCCAGGTCATCCAGGACCTATAATAGTAAGAGCCTGTCTCAAAAAAAAAAGAAGTTTGTACTGAACTGGTGACATATTTAAATGATGATATTCTGAATATATTGGATAAAATAAAATTACTTTTTTTTTATATAAAATTCCTTGTGCTCTACAGAACACTGGAGATGTTAGGCATAGGCCTTTCTAGCGTACTGACTTAAGTGAAAAGCAGTTGAAAAGCAGCAGATCCAGGGAGCTCCTGACTCACAGAACCAGGGTGGGAATCATGCTCGCTGGCCTGGCCCGTTCACCCTGAAGGCATCTGTTGTGCAATCATAGGTCAGAGCTCTTGAGATTGGTCTGGTCAGGACAGTTCTTGAACTCATGTCTTCCATGTCTGGATGGCAGCCGTACTTTCAGAGATACAGCCTTTTTTTTAAAAAAAATTTTTAAGACAGGGTTTCTCTGTGTATCAAGCCCTGGCTGTCTTGGACTTGCTTTGTAGATCAGGCTGGCCTCACAGAGGCCACATGCCCAGCTGAGATACAGAGTCTTTAGGAATACAATAAAAAATTTAGATATGGCCAGGTGAGGTGGCACATACCTTTAGTCCCAGCATTTGTGAGGCAGAGGCAGACAGATCTCTGTGGGTTCAAGGCCAGCTTGGCTTACAAAGCAAACTGCAGGTCAAGGCCATGGGAATATGTCCAAAGTCTGGACTGTGTGCAGACCTGAAGTCGGAGAGAAGCTGTGAATGTCAGGGGCCTGCCCCTCCTATGACTTCTGGGAGACTGGATCAGATCCCACTTCTGCAAAGTGTTTGAGTACAAACAACAGGCAAAGGTCCACACACTCCGACTCTGCTCTCACTGCTCACCGGCGGTTCCACCAGCTGCAATGCCCACTATAAGCAAGAAGACCCACCCTCACCCTTCAGAGACACTGTCCATCTCTCCACCACACGCCAGGAAAAAGGAACTTTTCTCCCATAATGTCCGAAGGAGTGAAAAAGAGTGAGTACTGAATTTCTCTTTTTTTTTGGGGGGGGGGGGGTTGGGGCACAGGTCAAGAATGTTGACCAGGGAAACCATGGAGCACTGAAGTCGCTGTGGACCTGGACCTGTCTGGTGGACCTGGAAAGTGGCACTTTTGTTGCAGTGGACAGCATGCTCTCCTTCGGTCCCTGCAGGTTGCTTCCCCTTTCTGTACATCTGCTCGGGCTTGGGTGTGGC